TCTGGGACGAGTTTCGTTGCAACCTCTGAACCTTTTCCAGTTTCATTATATGCTTCTTCAGATGGGAACTACATGATGAGGCGGCATACTCTAAGACTGGCCTTACGTAGGCAGTGTAAAGCGCCCTAAATGCCTCCTTACTTAGGTTTCTGAATGATGTTCTAACTTTTGCCAGTGTAGAGTACGCTGCTGTCGTTATCCTATTTATATGTGCCTCAGGAGATAGATTAGGTGTTACGTCCACCCCCAGGTCTCTTTCACGCGTCGTTACAGGTAGGCTGTTCCCCTTCGTGTGTGTGTGTGTAGGTGTTGCTGGCCTTGTGTGTGTGTGTAGGTGTTGCTGGCCTTGTGTGTGTGTAGGTGTTGCTGGCCTTGTGTGTGTGTGTGTGTGTGTGTGTGTGTGTGTGTGTGTGTGTGTGTGTAGGTGTTGCTGGCCTCGTGTGTGTGTGTGTGTGTAGGTGTTGCTGGCCTCGTGTGTGTGTGTGTGTAGGTGTTGCTGGCCTTGTGTGTGCGTGTGTAGGTGTTGCTGGCCTTGTGTGTGCGTGTGTAGGTGTTGCTGGCCTTGTGTGTGCGTGTGTAGGTGTTGCTGGCCTTGTGTGTGTGTGTAGGGTGTTGCTGGCCTTGTGTGTGTGTGTAGGGTGTTGCTGGCCTTGTGTGTGTGTGTGTAGGTGTTGCTGGCCTTGTGTGTGTGTGTGTAGGTGTTGCTGGCCTTGTGTGTGTAGGGTGTTGCTGGCCTTGTGTGTGTGTAGGGTGTTGCTGGCCTTGTGTGTGTGTGTGTAGGGTGTTGCTGGCCTTGTGTGTGTGTGTAGGGTGTTGCTGGCCTTGTGTGTGTGTGTAGGGTGTTGCTGGCCTTGTGTGTGTGTGTGTAGGTGTTGCCTGGCCTTGTGTGTGTGTGTGTAGGTGTTGCTGGCCTTGTGTGTGTAGGTGTTGCTGGCCTTGTGTGTGTGTGTAGGGTGTTGCTGGCCTTGTGTGTGTGTGTGTAGGTGTTGCTGGCCTTGTGTGTGTGTGTGTAGGTGTTGCTGGCCTTGTGTGTGTAGGTGTTGCTGGCCTTGTGTGTGTAGGTGTTGCTGGCCTTGTGTGTGTGTGTGTAGGTGGTTGCTGGCCTTGTGTGTGTGTGTAGGTGTTGCTGGCCTTGTGTGTTTGTGTAGGGTGTTGCTGGCCTTGTGTGTGTGTAGGGTGTTGATGGCCTTGTGTGTGTGTTTGTGTAGGGTGTTGCTGGCCTTGTGTGTGTGTAGGGTGTTGATGGCCTTGTGTGTGTGTAGGGTGTTGATGGCCTTGTGTGTGTGTGTGTGTAGGGTGTTGCTGGCCTTGTGTGTGTGTGTAGGGTGTTGCTGGCCTTGTGTGTGTGTGTAGGGTGTTGCTGGCCTTGTGTGTGTGTGTGTAGGGTGTTGCTAGCCGTGTGTGTGTAGGTGTTGCAGCTCTGATGGGTGGTGTTACTTGATGCGTGCTTGTGCTGCTAACTTTCCCAGCCTTGTTAACGTAACTAACCTTGTAGATATAGACGTGCTGGTCCCCTCTAATATCTTCCCGGCTCTCGTAGCCAGAGCTGTGCGTCAGGAATCACCAAACATGGACGTGTCCGCCTGTGTACACCTTCCAGCTATCTCGGCGGCTCAGTTGGTTTGTATTTCCAACTTGTGAGCTCCGAGGATGTGTGTGACAATGGCAGCCCAAGTCATCCTCTGGTTCTGGCGGTGTATTATAGCTATGTGCACCATCGTGCATATACTGACGTAATGACAATTATATAGTAGAATTTGGTACTATTCACTACATAGAGTCCGGAAAAAGTAAAGATGGAAACCAAACTTAAATATTCCTAGGCCTATTCTAGCACATATATTGAAATTGAAATAAGTTTATTAAGTAAAACACACAAAGGGATGAGGTAGCTCAAGCTATTCTCACCCTGATAGTACATATATGTACTATTTTAAGCCTCAGAATGCGTGTATTAGGTCTTGGATGGTTGGGTTTTATTAGCAACATAAGTACAAAAACTTTCCCGTGAACAAGTCCACAATGGCCGTGATGAGGGTTCGAACCTACGCCCGGGATGATCCCAGACGCTTCCTAATTTGACTGCTCCACGACATGGTAAAAGAATTGCAACAGGGAGTTCTACTGACATACTCACTCACTCGGTTTGTCCAAATTCAGTAGTACCAGTTCTACTATGTAATTGGTCACTACGTCAACATAGGTACGATGGTCCAGAGCGTTTCTGGACCATCTACTCCATCTAGTAGACCATCTACTCCATCTAGTAGACCATCTACTCCATCTAGTAGACCATCTACTCCATCTAGTAGACCATCTACTCCATCTAGTAACCATCTACTCCATCTAGTAGACCATCTACTCCATCTAGTAGACCATCTACTCCATCTAGTAGACCATCTACTCCATCTAGTAACCATCTACTCCATCTAGTAGACCATCTACTCCATCTAGTAGACCATCTACTCCATCTAGTAGACCATCTACTCCATCTAGTAGACCGTCTAGTAAAAGTACTGTCTACTCGGAAGAATGGGCTGGATAACCTCGGATCCACAACCACTTCACAGCATTTCCAATATCGCAAACTGGATAATAAATGCAAATTAAATCACAAAGATGAAGGAAAGATATATAGGTTTCGCAAGTGTAGACGTAAATGCTTGATTAGTGGTGGCCGTGGCCCACTACCCTTGCCCGTAGTTAAGAGTAACCATGTGAAGGTGTCCTTGCAGGGGTTGCACCCTCTGCATACCTAACTCACAGCCTACCTCTGCTAGTGTGGTCTCCAGGCCAGGGGCGTGCAGTGTGTCTTTACTACTTCCGCCTCCAGAATCGAGCTATTAGCACTTGGACCCCGTCTTTCTAATCAATTTGTCCTCTATTATGGCTACTATATATATTTCTCTGACAGACAGACAGACAGACAGACAGACAGACAGACAGACAGACAGACAGACAGACAGACAGACAGACAGACAGACAGACAGAGACAGACAGACAGAGACAGACAGACACACAGACACACACACACTAAAAGGAATTGATAGGGTAGATAAAGACAGGCCATTTAACACAAGGGGAACACGCACTAGGGGACACAGGTGGAAACCGAGTGCACAAATGAGCCACAGATATTAGATTTTTTTTTGTTAGTGTCAGAGTAGTTGACAAATGGAATGCATTAGGCAGTGATGTGGTGGAGGCTGACTCCATACACAGTTTCAAGTGTAGATGTGATAGATCCCAGTAGGCTCAGGAACCTGTACACCAGTTGATTGACAATTGAGAGGCGGGACCAAAGAGCCAGAGCTCAACCCCCGCAAGCACAACTAGGTGAGTACACTCACAAGGATTCTGGTAGTTGAGTGTTCAGCGCACAGGACTCGTAATCCTATGGCCTGGGTTCGATTCCCTGACTAGGCAGAGACAAACGGGCAGAGTTTATTTCACCTTTATGCCCCTGTTCACCTGGCAGTAAATAGGTACCTGGGAGTTAGACAGATGTTGCGGGTTACTTCGTGTGTGTGTGTGTGTGTGCGTGTGTGTGTGTGTGTGTGTGTGTGTGTGTGTGTGTGTGTGTGTGTGTGTGGTGTGTGTGTGTGTGTGTGAGAGGAAAAAAAAGTTAGTAGTTAGTAGCAATTGATTGATTGTCTATATGTTGTTGTGTTGATTTAGGGGCGACGACGATCGTGGGATCGGATGCGCCCGATTGTCTATATGACAACAAGTTCTGTAGGTTCTTATATCTTTCAAGAGTGGATCAATATAGTAACATGACAAAAGGCGGTACCATGATTGATCCTATTGTGTTAGCTTCGTTGAACCATTGACAGGAGCAGCCAGTGAACATACATAAAAACATGAGCAGGTAATTTCATCAATAAGAGCCCTGCGTAGAACTTGTTTCATATAAAATCAAAACCAGGCGAGGGTCTCAGGCTGGGCGAGGGGCCTCAGGCTGGGCGAGGGGGCCTCAGGCTGGGCGAGGGGGCCTCAGGCTGGGCGAGGGGCCTCAGACTGGGCGTGGGGCCTCAGGCTGGGCGAGGGGTCTCAGGCTGGGCGAGGGGTCTCAGGCTGGGCGAGGGGCCTCAGGCTGGGCAAGGGGCCTCAGGCTGGGCCAGGGGCCTCAGGCTGGGCGAGGGGCCTCAGGCTGGGCGAGGGGCCTCAGGCTGGGCGAGGGGCCTCAGGCTGGGCGAGGGGCCTCAGGCTGGGCCAGGGGCCTCAGGCTGGGCGTGGGGCCTCAGGCTGGGCGAGGGGCCTCAGGCTGGGCGAGGGGCCTCAGGCTGGGCGAGGGGCCTCAGGCTGGGCGAGGGGCCTCAGGCTGGGCGAGGGGCCTCAGGCTGGGCGAGGGGCCTCAGGCTGGGCGAGGGGCCTCAGGCTGGGCGAGGGGCCTCAGGCTGGGCGAGGGGCCTCAGGCTGGGCGAGGGGCCTCAGGCTGGGCGAGGGGCCTCAGGCTGGGCGAGGGGCCTCAGACTGGGCGAGGGTCTCAGGCTGGGCGAGGGGCCTCAGGCTGGGCAAGGGGCCTCAGGCTGGGCCAGGGGCCTCAGGCTGGGCGAGGGGCCTCAGGCTGGGCGAGGGGCCTCAGGCTGGGCGAGGGGCCTCAGGCTGGGCGAGGGGCCTCAGGCTGGGCCAGGGGCCTCAGGCTGGGCGTGGGGCCTCAGGCTGGGCGAGGGGCCTCAGGCTGGGCGAGGGGCCTCAGGCTGGGCGAGGGGCCTCAGGCTGGGCGAGGGGCCTCAGGCTGGGCGAGGGGCCTCAGGCTGGGCGAGGGGGCCTCAGGCTGGGCGAGGGGGCCTCAGGCTGGGCGAGGGGGCCTCAGGCTGGGCGAGGGGGGGCCTCAGGCTGGGCGAGGGGGCCTCAGGCTGGGCGAGGGGGCCTCAGGCTGGGCGAGGGGGCCTCAGGCTGGGCGAGGGGGCCTCAGGCTGGGCGAGGGGCCTTTGGCTGACGGAGAAGTTCCCTGGTCAACGACAGGTTAAGGCGTCCCCGTGTACCGCCCAGAGCCGTGGCTGGCTGGCTGACTGACTCGCCGGGTCGCCCACCCCAGCCTCACTGACTTCAAAAACTATTTGTATGGTCAGCACAGTAACCGGACCAGACAATGTGATGTAGTCATTGCGCGAATTCGCCTTGGCTATAGACACATCTGGCAGGTTAGTGAGGCTGAGCCACTACCAGAATATTCAGATTGTAAACTCTGTGATAAGCCTTTAATGCATTCACTAGAACACTAATTGTTGAATGTGAAACATTAAAACATTGGTTGTAACCATGATTATATATATATATATATATATATATATATATATATATATATATATATATATATATATATATATATATATATATATATATATATATATAACCTAAACCTAAATTATTTAACTCAACAGTAAAATGTGTACTTGGATGAAAAAACGATTCTTCGCGGCAGGGGATCGTATTCCAGGGACCATAGGATTAAGGACTTGCCCGAAACGCTACGCGTACTAGTGGCTGTACAAGAATGTAACAACTCTTGTATATATCTCAAAAAAAAAAAAAAAAAAAAAAAAAAATATATATATATATATGTAGTATATATATAATAGTCTGATGGTGTAGTATATATATGTATATGTATATATATATATATATATATATATATATATATATATATATATATATATATATATATATATATATATATATATATATATATATATATATATATATATATATATATATATATGCACAGACTACCCTATTCCAGTAGCTGAAGTTTATAACTTTTTAGACACTCAACCCACCAGGGGACTCGAACACTGGCCAACAAGGTGGCAGTTGCATGCTGTATCCACTACACTATACTTCAAAGCCATTAAGAGAGGTAGGAATTCTGGGGTATTTAACTAAGTATAGTGTAGTGGATACAGCATGCAACTGCCACCTTGTTGGCCAGTGTTCGAGTCCCCTGGTGGGTTGAGTGTCTAAAAAGTTATAAACTTCAGCTACTGGAATAGGGTAGTCTGTGCATTAAGCATTTGGCACTGAGTTTTCCCATGTAACAGGAACCGATGAAAGAGCATCCGAGGTCCCACACTATCTCATTGCCTGGGAGAGGATTGGAGTTCTGGTTGGTTAAATACCCCAGAATTCCTACCTCTCTTAATGGCTTTGAAGTATAGTGTAGTGGATACAGCATGCAACTGCCACCTTGTTGGCCAGTGTTCGAGTCCCCTGGTGGGTTGAGTGTCTAAAAAGTTATATATATATATATATATATATATATATATATATATATATATATATATATATATATATATATATATATATATATATATATATATATATGCATGCTTCAGCCTACAGTTTAGACCTATTGTCTTGTGTATGACAGTCTGTCCTGTGTGACAGTGAATACCAGCATTATTCTCACTTTAATAAGACTTAATTGAAATCCTCAGATCAGGCAAAATTGTAATTTATTTTGTCAATAAAGATGTTAATAATAATAACTGACTTAAATTATGATTTAAGTTGTTTTCTACAACAGACGTGGCAATACAGCGCCAGAATATATAAGTTTGGTCTCCTACATAGACAGCACCCATCTGCATTTTTTTTAAGAAAATAGTATTTGCAGGAAAATTATTTACAATTTTGGGGAATTATTATTATTATTATTATTATTATTATTATTATTATTATTATTATTATTATTATTATTATTGTACCTGATATGCTTGCTACATGAAGGACCCCCTTCAGAGCAGGACAGATTGCCGAAATAGAGGGAATACAGAGAACATGTACGGCATACATAGACGCGATAAAGCACCTAAATTATTGGGATCGTTTCAAAGCTCTTCAAATGTACTCACTAGAAAGGAGACGAGAGAGATATCAAATATCATTCACGTGGAAATTATTGGAGGGCCAGGTCTCAAATCTACACAATAAAATAACAACGTACTGGAGTGAACGATATGGAAGAAAATGCAGAATAGAACCAGTGAACAGCAGGGGTGCCATAGGCACAATCAGAGAACACTATAAATACGAGAGGTCCGCAGTTGTTCAATATCCTCTCAGCGAATATAAGAAATATTGCCGGAACAACCGTGGACATCTTCAAGAGGAAACTAGATCATTTTCTCCAAGGAGTGCTTGACCAACCGGGCTGTGGTGGATATGTGGGCCTGCGGGCCGCTCCAAGCAACAGCCTGTTGGACCAAGCTCTCACAAGTCATGCCTGACCTCGGGCCGGGCTTGGGGAGTAGAAGAACTCCCAAAACTCCATCAAGCAGACCTGCCCCACGTACTGAGGCCAATGTTATCTGATATAACATTCGATATCTGATATATATATATAATTATATATATATATATATATATATATATATATATATATATATATATATATATATATAATATATATATATATATATAATAATAATTCATTGGAATGCTATCAACAAAGAAGCAGCGTGAACTCACAATGCGTACATATAATAAATGGTGGGAATTAATCCACGCTATTTGTTTAAGCGGCGACCTCAAGAGAAATTTATGACATAAGTAATGCCAGAAAGAGAGAGGGAGGAAGTGTCGGGGGGAGGAGAGAGAGAGAGAGAGAGGAAAAAGGGAGGGGGGGTAAGAGAGAGAGGGAGGGAGGGTCTCGCTGAGAAACGGATAATCCCTAAGAGGCTGGAGAAGAAAAGTGAGAGAGTTGGTCAAGTGTTGCTGGAGACTAGTAAGGTCACGAGCTGAGTGATCACTTACCTATCGGTACTTACCTATCAGTGACAATAGGTGTAGCTCTCTTTGCCCCGCCTACTATCTTCGGTGTCCCTCGACCCTTCCTCGGAGGTATACCTGTGTACACTTCCTCGACTCATTTGTTGATTCCAACCTCCACTTGTGTCATCTTGTCTCCATTTTTTATCATCTCTCCATTTTTTCTTCTGTCCTCTAAGGTTCGAGGACAGGTGCTAGTTTGTGGCACTCTGGAAACTTCATTCAGACTTCGATTCCAGGAATAATTTAGAATTGATGTAGTTGCATGTCATTGGAGATTGAAGGTGTTGTACAGTGAGCCTCGTATATGCGGTGGGCGTCCGTGTGGTGCCAAGGTGGCGTGGTGCCAGGCAGCGCCGGTTAACGAGACCTCTCCCACAGACGCCATCTGACCTGGAATTGTGTTTATGCTGCAGGGAAGTGGGACCATTGACGGCCGCTGCCGCTCACACGACTCTCTTCAACGGATTTAATAACGTTTCTGCGCTCTTTGGGAAGAGCGTTTGTTCTCACTAACGTTTGTTACGTTGGTGAGAGAGAGCGTTACAGCACTCTGAGTAGTGGTGGTGGTGGCCACAGTGGGGGACACGTGGCCAGGACACTGGTGGCCACAGTGGGGACACGTGGCCAGGACACTGGTGGCCACAGTGGGGGACACGTGGCCAGGACACTGGTGGCCACAGTGGGGGACACGTGGCCAGGACACTGGTGGCCACAGTGGGGGACACGTGGCCAGGACACTGGTGGCCACAGTGGGGGACACGTGGCCAGGACACTGGTGGCCACAGTGGGGGACACGTGGCCAGGACACTGGTGGCCACAGTGGGAAGTTAGTAATAAGTTTAGAGTAATTTATATTAATTATCCAACTTAAAAAGAGAGATTAAGTCACACACACACAGATCACACTAACGTGATGCATCAAATGAACAAATCCACAAGGGCCGTGACGAGGATTCGAACCTGCGTCGTAGCTCAGTCGATTAAGGCAGTGTCTGGGATGCTCCCGGACGCAGGTTCGAATCCTCGTCACGGCCCTTGTGGATTTGTTCAGAGATTAAGTTTTCAACTTTGTATTTGTTAATAATATTGGCTGCACAGAGGAATAAGGTGTGTAGTTGTTTAAGATTCGCTACTCGGAGCAAAAAGTTGCAAGTAGCACGGGCTATGGTGAGCCCGTAGAGGACTTGCCTGGCTGTTACATGTGTAGTGAGACAGGTGTGGAGACAGGTGTGGAGACCAAGTGTGTGTGTGATAGCCCACATACTATACCATATGAATAGTGTCATTAAATATTTGTAATATATTTGTAGCAAAAATCAAATTTGTTGTTAAGCATTGTTTACAAATAATGATTTAATAATTGATATAATTTGTATCAACATTTATTAATTCCGTCCGCTAGCCTAAACTGTGAACCCATATATTGCATTTTTTAAATCGTTCAATCGAATCGCTCTAATTCATATCTAATAAAAATATTATGTACGTTATTGTTAATAGACGTATATTTTAAGATGAAGTCGACTGTTAATGTGTTGATGGCGTTTTCCAGGTTGAAAGAAGGTGGCCATCTGCAGGTGTACAAGACCCTTGATGACCCGCGGTCGACCCCGTGACCTCTCTCACAGGTCAGTCTCCCTCCTCTCCTCTTCTGTTTTAAGAGCCGATTACATATCGTCTGAGATGCCCTGGTGCCTGGTCCTCCCTGCCTTGTGCCTTGTGCTTGGGGGGCGGCATTGAAATTGAAATAAGTTTATTGAGGTAAAATACACACGAAGAGATGAGGTAGCTCAAGCTATTCTCACCCCATTCAGTACAACGTGTTAATATATACATAGACACACATCACAAATAAACACATTACCAAACATTCTGAGAGATAAACATACACATTTCCTCCTTCACAAGTAATATGGTATCAGACGTACACACAAATACTTTTATGACCTAGGTATACTGTATAGACAATTTGCAAGACACGTGCAGATAATTCAACAAAATATTACAATCTTGGTGCAAAATTCTTATATCTCTCAAGAATATCATCAACCTTTCCGTTGTGACACATCCAGGCTATTTGTTCAGGAACAGTCCTTATCTCAGTGTTTCTATATACATTAATCAACGGACAATCAAGAACATAATGGGCCAGGGTGTGAGACCTTAACATACCACATAGTTTACACTTCGTGTCATTATCATGAACATCTATCCCATATTCCCAGTAATATTTGTACCCAAGC